ATGATATTCTTCTTGTTGATAAGACTAGAGAGGGAGTTGAAGGTAAACTTGAATTATGGAGGTCAACCTTAGAGTCTAAAGGTTTTCGCTTGAGTAGATCTAAAACGGAATATATGGAGTGTAATTTTAGTAGTAATAGATCTAGTGAGGGGATTGTGACTTTGGGTGATCAAGTCATTAATAAGAGTACACGTTTTAGATATCTTGGATCTATTGTTCAGAGTGATGGTGAAATAGATGGGGATATTATCAGCAGAATTCAAGTTGGATGGTTGAAGTGGAGGAATGCATCGGGCTTGTTATGTGATAGAAATGTACCCCTCAAACTTAAGGGAAAATTCTATAAGATGGTAGTGAGGCCTGCAATGTTTTATGGTGCCGAATGTTGGCCTTTAAAAGAGAAGCATAATACTAAGTTAAGTGTGGCAGAGATGAGGATGCTCAGGTGGATGAGTGGCTTTACCCTTAGAGATAGGATACGAAATGAGCAGATACGTGAAAAGGTTGGAGTAGCTCCAGTAGAAGATAAGATTAGAGAAAGTCGCCTTAGATGGTTTGGTCACATAAAACGGCGGCCTTGCGATGACCCGGTTAGGAGAGTAGAGGTATTAGATTTGACTTATGTTAAGAAAGGTAGTGGTAGACCTAAAAAGACTTGGTTAGAAAATATTAGGAATGACCTTTCTTTATTAGATTTAAACGAGAATTTGACTTTTAATAGGACGCAATGGAGAAAAAGGATTCATGTACGTAGTGGGATAAAGGCTTGATGTTGTTGTTGTTGTTGTATTGAGTCCTATTAAGAGTCAAATCCTTTGTGTGTGTGTGTGTGTGTGTGTGTGTGTGTGTGTGTGTATATATATATATAATGGTTGGTCCATTCGGTAAGCATATAAAATTTTGATGATGATGATGATGACGATGAAGATTGCTCGGATCAAAATGCTTCAAATCATATGGTCTCTCTCCTATCATCTCCTTTGTGATTGCTTACATGGAGTTTATTTTATTTTCAGATCTGATATTTCTTATGATGTGCTTGGCTAAGATTTTGGTTGATCGAGTTTCATTTATTTCTCAAACAAGTCACATATGTCAAGCTCCCCAAAAAAGAACGGAAGAAAGGTAGAATAAGATTAAAAGCCTGCGATGAAAAAAGTTTATATTTAATTACTACCGTTGGTTACATTTCGAGGTGATGAAACAAACTTTGCCTTATATTGCAAAGACATTACATGTGCTAAGGTTTGGCTTTATTAATTAATCCCTGTTCTAATAGTTCAACTATGTTGTTTAGACAATGAGCTCCATTTCAAGCGGGCCATTACATAGTGAGATAAGATTTGAGTAAACTTGCTATTTTTTCATAAAGACGAGAGATTTCATGGTAAACTTCATATTTATGAGCATTATCTGACCAGAATTTAACATAATAATTTGGTGTTATTGTAGCTCTCATATCATACATTGGCAATTCCTGACAAGAGTTGGATTAATTGATTTTCCTCTTTAAATTTTATAATTATGTGGCTAGCCAAGCTAATTAAAAAAGAAAAGAAAAGAAAAAGGTCGTATGTTCAATTAAGGCATCATGTACTCCACCTTCCTTTTTTGGGATATTTAACTGCCTTCATTCTTGTTGCATCAACATTCATATGATAAATAAACTGATATACAAAAATGTCATATGGTTTTAATGCTTTTATATTTAGTGAACCAACATAGGTTCAAACAGTGGGCATGCCGCTGGGATGAATAAGTTTTAAGCTCCTCTGCCTCAACTCAAACAAAAAAAAAAAAAAAAAACAAAAAAAAAAAAAAAAAAAAAAACTTTATTTTGACCCAATTTTTATTCTGATTTGGGAAAGGAATCTTTTAGGCCGGCCCAAGAGGGGCCGGCTTCTCCTATTGAACCGGTCCCTAGTGGACCGGTTTACTACTACAGCCGTTAGCCCAGGGAAGGGAGAGAGAAGGGGCCGCTGATCTTATAGGGCCTACACCTTGAATAAAGATTTCTTTTGAGGAAAATATTTGAATTAGGGGCTGTTTAGGCATTTTGTATTTCTTCTTTGACTTTACTTAGTTGTTAATGCTAGAATTAGGGTTTCATCTTGAATTTGAATTTGAAATTTGAGATCTCTTGTGAGCTTGGGCTCTAGTCTCTTGGCTAGAGATTTGGAGAGTCAGTTTCTTCCTCTCGAATTGAAGAAACGTGTATTTTTTGTTGTTTTCTGCATCCATTAGTGAAATCCTTCATTTTTTTCTCAGATTTTTTTAGTTTTCTCAAGGTTGCTGCAATCAAGTTGTTTTCTTCCGAAAACAACAGTTTTTTTGCTTTTGGGTACGTGTTTTCTATCAGAATCTTGAATCTTGATTTTAAAAACACTTAGTTTTAAATTTCTAATATATATATATAGAAGTAAATCAATTTTGATTTCTAGTCAATTAAAATTTAAGTTACTCGAGGTTTTGAGAACAGAACATAATTATGAACCCTACGTGCAATAGTAGTTACACTTTCTCCACTATGATCTAGAGACTTAAGGGTTTTAATCATAGAAGCAACATCTTTGTATAAGGGGTAAAGCTGCATACCATACTAAAATCTCACATTGGATGAAATCCTCATGCACTACCTGGTCCTAAGGTTTCAGTCTCAATTTATTTCTCATGGTCCATACACACTAATAAATGTTTTCATAATCATTATTTTACTAGTTTTAGTAATTGATGCGATTTTATGCTCTTCATAAGATTACCTTTCTCAGAGAAATCATCTTAAACGTTTTCAATAGAGGTGATTGAAAACTTCATTTTGTCAGATGTTTTGCTTCCTAAATGAGAGCGAAAGCAATTTTCCAGGTAGTGAATGTGATGACTAAGATCATTTGCAACCGAATTGCATATCACCATATGCCGTTCGCCATTCGCTGCATTCGAACTCCAAATCTCACGTCAAAATTCGGTAGGTGAACAATGTGATGCCAATCACCTACGCAAAAAAATTGGGTTGCCGAAGACGACCGTGAAAGAGGAGAAAAAGCGCACAAAAGATGAGAGAGATTGTTACCTTCACAGGAAGCACGCGAAAGAAAAAAATGCAATTCGATTTGAGATGAATTACGACATTTTGAAGTTTTACTCTATTTTAGAGTGGAAAATGATTTTTTTGGTTGGAGGGCTAATGAAGTGCACTGAAATTTTAGTATATTCTGTTGACATGAATAGCATCACTCTTCATTTTATTGTATAATTGAGACAAAACATAACTTTGGGGAATTAATATCTTGTATAAATAAAGTAAAGCTATTATGTGAGACAAAAATGACGGGAAGTTGGACAACAGTATAAAATGGTCATTATGCCCTTTTTTTTAGTTTTACTATGAGGATGAAGAAAGGTGCAAATGGTCATTTTACAATATTTTGGCCAAGCATACCAAATTTTTCGGAAAGAGTAGCATCAATCATAAAAATTTGACAACACATTGCATGACAAGACTCTGCTGTTTCAGACACTGTACTAAATAGCCATGCACATTAAGGCAATATGATATGCCAACCACCTTTTTCTGCTCATAGCCATTTTTGCAGGAGTTGGTTTTTGTAAAAAGTCCTCTTCAAATCTTAAATTTCCATCTCTTCTCCCTCATTTTCTATCACAAAAAAAAAAAAACTTTTGCTTTCAGCACTGTGTGGTTCTCTGCCATATTGCATTGCATTTGTATACTTTTTTTATAACATTTTGTTAATGCTTCACTTAAGACTAATAAGAATGCTACTACTGCTTCTTGAACTTATCATGTCTTAAGCTTCTTCAATTTATTATTTTCACTCCTAATTAGGTGTCTCAATATTGGACACAACCCAAAAACCCGACTCGAATTCGACACAGAAATTTTGGGTTTGGATTAGAGATTTCTATCCATTTGTAAAATCAGGTCGGGTTCGTGTTGACCTGGAAACCCGAAATCAACCCGATATGAACCCGGATTTGCGTCAGTCACGTCCGTGTCCATCGGTCGCATCGCATCCGCAAGCCGTCTTGTTCGCTAGCCACCGAGTCCCGTGATTGTTGCCTTTGCACGCCCCCGCGAACGAAGTCACGCGTCAAGCAGTCGCCTCCGCCTGACCGCCAACCATACTCGCATCCGCTGGTCCGTCGCGTTAGTCCGCCATCCGCCTGTACATTCGCCGGCCGGACAACGATCGGAGGTCGCTAACTCACTATCTTCGCGTGCTTCTTCAGCCAAATCACGTAAATCTGTGTTGGGTCGGGTTGGCCCGAATCCTAAGTGGGTCAGGTTCGGGTCCCAAAAACCGACATGTTTGTAAAAAAACGGGTCGGATTCGGGTTGATCCTAATAGTGCCAGGTCAGTTCCGGATTCGACCGGAACCCGACCCATGACACTAAATTAACTGCCCTACTCCTAATATCAGACTATTCTTTTCAACCATTCCAAATGAATTGCCTCGTCTTTTTAATCTCTAGTTAGACTGAAGAATCAATTTATTGGATTCAAATAAAAACTTGTACATTTCTGATTTCTCTGGCATTCTGAACAAGAAGTTTGTCTTGTTGAAAACACTAAACAGAAAAAAAAGGGGGTAATTGCAAACTATTTTCTGATATATTTGCAATCCTCTACAGACTAAATGTTTTTGTCTCACTCTTTTTTCCTTTGCTTGTAGATGAATGCGCTTCTCTGAAGGATGTTAGAGTGATTATGAACTCTGGAAGGCAATGAAGAATTTTACCAAACGAAGCCTAATTCAGCAATGTAGTACTTAGAAGAAAATGTGCAGGAATCTCTACAAGAAATTCCTAAATAGGATTTTTGCTACAAACAAGTCAAAGAACAAGCTACAACAAGTACTATTCCTTCAACCTAACCTGATGCAACAAAATCATTCTTTATGAGATGAGAAAATATCCCACAATATATTTGGCCACCATGATGAGAACTTTTACTCTATGAAATCCAGAGTTGTATATATATATATATATATATATTGCATTCGATATTATGTTTGAATAATAGGCCTTGTTTGGGACAGCGTTTTTGCTGCTTTATAAAACAGCTTTTTAGGACAAAAATTTCTAATTCAATCATTTTGACATGATTGACCATGATTAATTTTGATTAACTATAATAGATTTCTATTGATCTCGTCAACTTTGGTCAACCTTTTTAATGTCATTATATTTGTGATGATTACGATCGACATTGATCAAGTGTTAATCAAAATCATTGTTGACTCAATCAATATTGAAGCACTTCTTTATTGTTTCGATTCGCTTGTTTATAGCCGACCCCACGTAGCGGGATAAAGGCTTGATGTTGTTGTTATTGTTGGTAATATCATCATAAGACATCGATGACACCTTAACTGTGCGTCCAATGTAAAAACCACGATTAAATTTTGTATAAAATGGCTTTATGAATCTCGGAGTCCTTTAACTCATATTGTGCACCGGTGAAAATCTTTAAGAATTGGCACATGTCGCTGTAAGTATGAATTTTTTGGACCGTCAAGTGGCCGTTTTGCAAACTGATTTCACTAATATTTTCTAAATAAAATGATTTATTTTATGAATATTTTTCTATAATTTTGTGTTAGTAAAAATTTTCCCGTGTAGCTTTTTATATGTTATAGAGATTGAGATTATGAATATTTTGAGTATTTATTTGATATTTTTCATCATGTGATTTTAAAAATACATCACTTTTTGTCTACTCGAAAATTTATTTTGACATCAAAAAATAGTGATTTAGTTCAACTAAAGCTTCAGAATGATAATTATTAAAAGATTAAAAAAATAATTCTTTCAAATTAAATTCTGTGGCATTATATGATATTCCTGATAGTGTAACTTGTAAGTGAAGGTGATAGAAATTTGTTTTTTTTTTTTTTTAAAACTAGACCCTCTTATTTATATCCCTCTATTTTGTTAGTTTATTTTCTATTATTTGCTCTTTATGATAGATTTAATTGCCTAAGAGCTTGATATTTACTATGGTTAATGAAGTGTAAGGATATGACATCTATAACCAAGTGATTAGCTTGATTGTAATGGCATCATCATATTTTGATTACAAGGAATGCCTATCTGTTCTTTGGTGACTTGCAGGTGAGCTTATGGTGCTTCTTGATGCATGCACCTAATGCAACACAAAGCTCTCTATTATTAGCTTGAGTTGATTGGAAATTGATCATTTAGTTTTCACCATGACACTCTATTCTTAACTTTTTATACAAAGATTTTAATTTTTGTACTAAAAAACTGCTTTAAAAAACTTTAAGAAAGTCATCTCAAATGAAGCATAAATTGAAATGACAATTTAATTGTGCATATATCTTATTAAAAAGAATATTCCAAAGTTAAAAACTAATAGATAAACTCAGATTTCAAAAATAAATGAAGCAAACACATCTACACTATATATATATATTGATTTGATCAGGCATGAATCACGATGCATCTTTGAATTGAAAACTTTTAGAATTAAAATCAAGATTACCTGAATTTTGATTTCGACAAGCTTACAGTCAAATTGAACATATGATGAGATGAACCCATTAAAACAAAAATTTATCCACTCTAACTCCAAAAATCAAGCACCTAAAAGATAGTTAGGAACTTCATAATATTAATTGGAGGATTAAACGGTCTTTAAATTTTTGCATGTTTATGGTCAAATTGAGCATCTCAATGAGATGAATCCAACGAACTAAAAATCCTCTTAATTCCAACATTAATAATGCACTTCAATGTCGAAAAAATAGTATATGATTGAAGGGTTCATATATGCCGTTTGATGGAGTATTTTGCATGTTTGCTATATTCATAACCATTTCACTCAAAATATATATAAATAAGCTCTCACTCTCTAGTTGAAGAGGAGTTTGGACCTTAGGCTAGGACTTGAGGTTTATGATTACTAAGAGATTTGAAGAATTCTGAAGCTTCATTGGACCATCACCTTACCATCGTCATCACACCATCGTAGTCTGACCACTGCTATGTCACGACCCGACCCGACGGGGACGGATCCCGCCCGAGCCGGATCGCGACGAGAGACCTTTCTTAACCAGGATCTGGCTTTGGATTAGGTTACTGAACTGATCTTTCAAATTCTTAACTCAACAGAAGCACACAGAACAACAGAGCTACTAAAAACATCAAATGCAGCGGAACAAAACATCTATCTTTTCATTTCCTCAAAATAATCATCTACAGAACAGTACATGGCTTTCAACAGAAAGAAAGACAGAACAGAAAAGCCATGACTGTACAAAAATCAAAAGTACAAAAGTACCTAATCTGATCAGACTCTGAAACCTAGTCCTGAACTTCCTTGCCCTTCCCAGAACCTGAAAACCACCAGAAAGCAAGGGTGAGCTCAACAGCTCAGCAAAGCAACAAACCACCAATCTAAATTCTCAGAAAACAGAACCAAATTCATCGGACAGAAATCAGATCAGAAATCGGAACAGAATTGGAAATCAAAACTTACGGACAGGTATCAAATCACATCAGAGTCGTACAGATCGTATCAGAACAGAACAAATCAACAGAGTCAGAATCAGAAATCAGAATCGTACGGATCATATCATATCATAATCACAATTTCGTACAGAACAGAACAGATACAGAAAATAGTACAGATACATATAGCTAAATGCCCTGACACTGACGGAATCTCTATGGATTCCGGCCCCTTATGCCTCCCTTCCCAGACACTGACTGAATCTCATAGGATCCAGGCCCCTTATGTCTCCCTTTGTGCTCACGGCACCAAAACAGATGTGCTTATAGCACCAAAACAGAATTCATCGGATCCGGAACAGAACTGATTTCAGAATTTCAGATTTGAGCTCATTTCAGATTTTCCGTTTCACTAACTGAATCTCATAGGATTCAGGCCCCTTATAACTCCCTTTTTATAGCTTATACACATAGCATTTCAATTCAGAAGAAATACGGACAATTCGAAAATTACCCAAAAATCGGGCAGCACAACGGCAGTATACGGAATTTACACAAAAATTCCTGCAAAGAAAATTTACCGAATTCGCACAGAATACAGATATCAACATTTCAGAACATTTATTCTACTGCACAGATAAATTCCAATTTCACAGAAAAATCTGGTCGACTAAAAACACAGTCGAATCAAAAATACCCGGACGAAAATCTTCAAAATATAGTCAAAACGTGCACACCCGGCACGGCAACGATATCCAAAAAGTTACGCGGTAAAAACTGAGTCAATCAACAGATACAGACAAAAATCATTAACGAAAACGAAATCCGGATAGAATATACCGCCAAACACGACGGTTCTGAAAATTGAGAAAGGCGGAATGTGCCTTACCTCGAGCACAACAATTTCCTCAACAGCCACTTCGGGCGAAAACGGCTCCGCGTCGTCCGAAAATCAACTTTTCCACTTTTTCCTTCGTTTTTCTCTCTCCTCAGCTTTTTCTCTCTCTTCAAAATATCTCATTTCTATATATATCCAGACTGATCGTCCTGGACGATCGAGCTTCGTACCGGACGATCCATGAAGAGAGGAATTCCGTCCAGACGAAAAATGACATATCGTCCCTGGCGAAGGGTTCACGGGAGAATTTTCGTCCAGACGATCCTGATTTCGTCCAGACGAACCATACAGCCAAAACTGATTTTCTGCACAACCTGTACCGATCGTCCCGGACGATCCAACTTCGTCCCGGACGAACCTGGAGCAAAAACTGATATTACAATCTCCCCAACTTAAAAAAAAATGTCGTCCTCGACATTATCCAATCCAACCTCCGTCAAAACAAGTACGGGTACGACCGTCTCATATCAGACTCCTTCTCCCAAGTTGCTTCCCGTGCAGTCCGGTGCTTCCACTGGACTTTAACCATCGGAATCTCTTTATTTCTTAACTTTCGGACGTCGTACGCCAAAATAAGCTCTGGCTCTTCCTTGTACGCCAGATTCTCCTGAATCTCCACCTCATCAGCTGACAACTTCTTCCCAGAGTCTGAAACCCACTTCCTCAGAGTGGATACGTGAAACACATTATGCACGTCAGGCATAGAATCAGAAAGCAATAGGCGATAAGCAGATTTTCCAATTCTTTCCAAAATCTCAAATGGTCCAACATACCTTGGACTAAGCTTACTCACCTGACCAAATCTGCTCACACCTTTCATCGGGCTGACTTTGACATACACAAAGTCACCGACCTGAAACTCAACAAATCTGTGCTTCTGATTGTAATACTTCTGCTGACGATCTTGAGCGGCTTTCAATCTTTCTCTTATCAAATTGATCTTCTGAGCAGTTTCATCAGCAAAAGTGGCCCCCAAAGCCTGTCTATCTCCGACCTCCGTCAGAGTCAAAGGAGTACGACACTTCCTGCCATACAAAGCCTCGTACGGTGCCATACCGATACTGGACTGAAAACTGTTGTTATAGGCAAACTCAATCAGCGGAATATGATCCTCCCAACTTCCGCTAAAGTCCAGAACACAAAGCCTCAACAGATCTTCCAGTACCTGAATCGTCCTCTCAGACTGTCCGTCGGTCTGAGGATGAAAGGCTGTACTGAAATGCAGTTTCGTACCCAAGCCTTGCTGAATGCCTTTCCAAAGTCTGGAAGTAAAGCGTCCATCTCGATCAGATACGATCACACGAGGCACACCGTGCAATCTGACTATTTCCTTCACATAAATCTGTGCCAAGCGATCAACTGAATCCGTCTGTCTGATCGGAAGAAAATGGGCTGACTTCGTCAATCGATCTACAACCACCCAAATGGCATCATGTCCTTGTCGTGATCGAGGAAAACCCATCGCAAAATCCATCGTTACCTCCTCCCATTTCCACTCAGGGATAGGCAACGACTGCAACAGTCCACCTGGTCGCTGATGCTCTGCCTTCACCAACTGACAGGCTTCGCATCTCGACACAAACTCTGCCACATCCTTCTTCATCCCAGGCCACCAAAACAAAAGCTTCATATCAGCGTACATCTTACCACTGCCTGGATGAACAGTATAGCCAGAATGATGAGATTCGTACAGAATCTCCTGCCTCAAGTCTCCAAACACAGGTACCCACAACCTGTTCTTACAGAAAATAACACCAGAATCAGAAATTCGAAGTTCAGGAGTCTTACCAGATCCAATCTGAGCAATCAACTTCGAATAATCAGAATCTGACTTCTGGGCTTCTTGAATCCGTGCTTCCAAAGAAGACTGAATACTCATCTGAGCCAACTCCAAATCATTGGAGGAAACCACCTCCAACTGCAATCTCTCCAAATCACGAATCAGAAAGTCATCACAGGTAAGCTGAATACCTGAGAATCCAGAAGACTTTCTGCTCAGAGCGTCCGCTACCACATTCGCCTTCCCAGGCTGATACTGAATAGTCAAATCGTAGTCCTTGATCAACTCGAGCCACCTCCTCTGTCTCAGATTCAGATCCTTCTGAGTAAAAATATACTTCAGGCTCTTATGATCAGTAAAGATCTCACACCTGACGCCATACAAGTAATGACGCCAAATCTTCAAAGCAAAAACTACTGCAGCTAACTCCAAATCATGTGTCGGGTAATTCTTCTCATGTGGTTTCAACTGTCTCGAAGCATAAGCAATTACCTGACCATGCTGCATCAGAACACAACCCAATCCTTTCAGTGAAGCATCACTGAACACCTGGAAACCCTCCGTACCTGACGGAAGTGCCAACACTGGAGCTGAAGTCAAACACTCCTTCAATCTCTGAAAACTAGCTTCACACTCCGGTGTCCAAACAAAAGGTACTGACTTCTGAGTCAGTCTCGTCAGAGGAGTCGAAATCTGTGAAAATCCTTTCACAAACTTCCTATAATACCCGGCCATGCCCAAGAAACTACGTACCTCAAATACCGTAGTCGGCCTTGGCCAATCAGCAACAGCCTGAATCTTCTGGGGATCTACAGAAATGCCTTTTCCGCTAATCACATGCCCCAGAAAAGAAATGCTCTTCAGCCAGAATTCACACTTAGAGAACTTGGCATACAGCTGATGCCTCCTCAAAGTCTCCAACACAATCCTCAAATGTCTGGCATGCTCATCCTCAGATGCAGAATATACCAGAATATCATCAATGAAGACGATCACAAACTGATCCAGATACTCCCTGAATACTCGGTTCATCAGATCCATGAAAATAGCAGGCGCATTGGTTACCCCAAAAGGCATAACCAAAAACTCGTAGTGCCCGTACCGAGTACTGAAAGCAGTCTTCACCACATCAGCTTCCTTCACCTTCACCTGATAATATCCGGATCTCAAATCAATCTTCGAAAATACCGAAGATCCGGAAAGCTGATCAAACAAGTCGTCAATCCGAGGCAAAGGATACTTGTTCTTGATCGTGACCTTGTTCAAATCTCTGTAATCAATACACATACGGAGTGTACCGTCCTTCTTCTTCACAAACAGAACAGGTGCTCCCCAGGGCGAAACACTAGGACGTACAAAACCTCTGTCAACCAACTCCTGAAGCTGAAAGTTCAGCTCAGAAAGTTCTTTCGGTGCCATTCTGTACGGAGCTTTCGATATAGGAGCTGTACCCGGAAAAACATCGATAGAGAACTCCACATCTCTATCCGGAGGTAAACCAACCAACTCCTCAGGAAAAACATCAGCAAATTCCCGTACCACAGGGATCTCAGAAACAGAACCAACCTCCAGGTTCAGATCCCGCACCGAAGCTAAAAATACCGGACATCCTTTCTTCCACATCCTGCTCACCTCCAACACAGAAACCAGACTGGAGAGAACACCTCGTAATCCCTGAAATACAACTCTCTCTCCAGCCACAAGCAAACTCACTTGCTTCTTCAGACAGTCTATCTGAGCCTCATACTGACTCAGCCAATCCATGCCCAGAATCACATCATACGAAGAAATCGGCAATCGAATCAAACTCGATTTCCACTTCTTGCCAGAAATCTCGATCTCACACAAACAAAACTGTCGAGCAATCAATGGATTCCCAGCCGGTAAAATCACAGACAAAGAAACCGGTAAAACCATCGAATCCAAATGTAAAATCTCAAAACAATGCTCGGACAGAAAAGAATGACTCGCTCCAGAGTCAAACAAAACACGACAGGGCTGATCAGAAATGTAAACCGTACCTGTCACAACATCCGGAGCATCACGAGCCTCCTGCTGACTCAGACTGTAAACTCGTGGCTGAACTGGAGCAGGAACTGAAGCAACAGAACTACTCTGCTCCCTCTGAATCGTAGGTGGTCTCCGCGGTGCAGAACTAGAACCACCACCTCTACCAGCAAATCCCTCAGGGCGAGGAGGAACAGTCCTCGGTCTTCCTGCTGCTGAACCAACAGGTCTGACAAAGCCCTCAGATCGCTGCTCAGAACGCTGATCAAATCCCATCTGCGGACATTCTGCAATCCTATGTCCCGGCTGACCACATCTGAAACAAAGACCAGCTATCCTGTAGCACTGGCCATGGTGTCGCCGTCCACAACTCTGGCACACTTTCTTTTTTTTTTTTTTTGAAAATTTTTAAAATATAATAAAAACCCCATATGCTCACCGCCCAAATGATGTGACAAATTAAATAATAAAAGGTCAGTAGTCTCCCTTAGTCAATAAATATCAACCACAAAAACTTGCAATAATATCCTAATCTGTAGACATTTCCAAAGATTCTGTTAGGATGATTTTTTAGGAATAAATGCACATTACAATATGTATTAATCACTAATTTTGGGTTAGATTAAGGAGGATTTCCACCTAATCTATGTTAAATAATTGATTAGGCCAATCGTATATATTATTATTATTATTATTATTATTATCTAAGAGTAAATAAAATCATATTTACCTTTAGAATTGATACGTCACCAAAAATCATTTTGATCCTGCATGAATCTCAAGACATATTCAAGTTGTAAACTTCTAAAATCAAATCTAGAACACAAAAAAGAAAGAGAAGGAAGAGAGCTCTCTTCCACCAGACTCTTCCTCAAGAACCGTCGGACTTCCGCTTAACCCCTGACTGATGTCGGACTTCCACCCGGTTGCTGACTGACCCCAAACTTCCGACTGACTATCAACTGATGCCGGATTTCCACCCGATTGCTGACTAATGCCGGACTTCCGTCCGAACGTCAACTGACGCGCAGATTTCCACATGACCAATAAACGTCACCAGACTTCTATGATTATATGTTCGTTTGACACTAGATTCTTAAACCCAACGGTTGACTATTATAATCTAAGCTTCCTCAATTTCAAGGACGAATCAGACACTTGTAACATATTCAAACACTAGTGGAATCATTTCAATTGGGGCGTGCCCTGGTGATTTTTCCATTTTGCATGATTTTCCACGTAAAAATTCTGGAGTTTTTGTTTTCGTTATGTTTGTGTGCTGGATATCGGTACAACGCTAAGATGAAAAATTCTAACTTTATCACCGCATATATTCTAGCACGCAACAAGAATATGCACATATAAGATAGAATTTAGATTCTATAAAAAAGAAAAAGAATCTTCCATAAAGATTAGGCTCCATAAACCTTCAACAAAATCTAGGGCCATAAACTCTCACATGTGCTATAATATATTGATGAGGCCTTAAAGAATAATTGCACCTCTACAAATAATCTAATCAATAATTTAGTACGGTCTTAAGTCAAATTAACCCACCTAATCTTAATTAAATTATTAATTTAGCTAAACAGTGAAAGTAGTTCAGGCATCATAAAGACATTAGTGAGACTGTTCAGACAATAAAAGACCACCTAAATATGTTACTATCATAATCATAATTAATGGGAATCTCCACATTTAATAATAAGTCAAAGAAGATTAGGCCTTAAAATGTGTGGATAAATAGTGATTAGTTGCTTAATCATTTTTTAAGAAGGTTTTAGGTGAAGATTAGCTTATTAATTATCATAAAGACTTTTCAACAAACTAAATGAATAGTGATTAATTGGGGCTTAAGCTCAATTCTATCCATAGAAAAAATATTTAATTTTTATAAAACATGATTAATTAGACTTTATTAGGCATGTGCATAAATTCTTATGGGTTTGCATCATTGACTATTCCATAATGTAAAACATTTAAATAATGTGAAGGAGATGATTTGTAATATAAAAATAGTCTTATATGATATTGATGGTCTTCCTAATCATTCAATGGAATTTCAAATGTCAAGTAAATTGATAATCAAAATACTATAATTGAAATATTAATAATAATTTTGATTTTGATCTAACTTTGGGTCAGTCCGATCTTGATTTGAGCCAATCATTAGTTGTTAAAGTTGGTTTCTGTGGTCAATTACGAATCATTAAATTCGATCTGGGTTCGATTTGAAGCAAAGTGGGTTCAATTTCGATCAATATATTTTTTTATCTTCAAGTTTTTAGTCGAAAATATATGCATGATGGTGCACTAAAGGAGAAATTATTTTGTTCGCACACCAAACCGTCTGGAGGCGAATCAAAATGCGTTACGCCAATCGGTACATAGCCACAGTACACAATAAATTGGTAACGTGACGCATTCTGATTCACCTCCGGACGGCATTTGTATCCGCACAGAATAATTTCATGTACTAAAGAGGTTAATAATTTCACATATGATTATATATATGGGCTTGTTTAATCCATAAGATTGGGCCGCTTAATGGTTCATGGCCCAGCCCAATTTCTGGGAGTTGTGAAGCAGGATAACAATAGAAATTGAAAGCACGAATCATTTCTTCTTGGGGTCTCGACAATGGTCTTCTGCAATCTCTGTTCTCCGACCTCCCTCCTTTGCTCAAAGCTCGCTGCTTTACAGTCTATCTCGCTGGAGAAACTTAAGCCTGAGCTGCCCTTTTACTATTCTTCTGAAAAATGGCCTTTTCGCTGTACTTTTTTGTTCTCCAGTTCTTGCTCTTTGTCCGCCTTCTGTTGCAGAGCGAGCATGGCCGAGGCTACCGCTGAGGTTCTCACTCTTCGAGATATATGCGGAGGAAAAGTGCCAGAACATATTCTGAAGAGGTATCTGTCTGTCTTTCCACATCTATCGCCGGAAAATCATAAACCTAAGTTATCCACTGAGCCTGTGGCTCAGTTTTTCAGGACGCCTAAGAACCTTTTTGTGCGCCGTGGTTTAAAATTGTGATTTTGATGGAAATGTGACGGGTGGACGTTTGAATTCGATTTTCTCCCTGATTTTATATGTTCTTCTTTTCTTCTTCTTATTAATTTTTTGAAGGATTAACCTGCATACCAGCTATTTTATATATTTAACGTCTAAAACATTAATGTTACGTTTCAAACACCCAAATACAATTTTAACCTTAACCCTAAGCTGACGACGTTACCCTCACCTTCCCGCGAGTTCTCTTCCGGGGTCCTGTCAGCGTCGTAATCCGCGGAAAGCTCAGCGACGCAAATAGGTGTTGTTCGGGATGAGCGCTCTTCCGGTAGTTGTGCTCTCTTCCGGATTGCTATGAGCCACGTAATCGGCTGAAAGCTTCAGTTCGCTCGCAGCCATGCAAAATTGGTGTTGTTCTTCAATCGATTTGGCTTTCATAAGGGTGTTCGAGATGTCGGGAAGCCTGCTCTTAGCAATCTTCTGAGTTGCTAGGGTATTTATTTGATAACATTGGTGCAGTAAAAAAAAATGCTGGCTGCCCGATTTCCATGAAACCATAGAAACATTCATTTACACTATAGATTATATATATTTAGTTTTGAATCCTCTAAATTTTCCTTTGAAAGCTGATGATTTTTTTGTTAGATTTGTGAAATTTTTGGCTTTGCTGCTTTGCCTGAAATTTCAGTATTGAGCAACAAAGTTAAAAATTTCACAAATTTGAAAAAAAAAAAATCAGCTTTTAAAGAAAAATTTAGAGGATTCAAAACCAAATATATAGAATCTATACTGCAAACAAATTTTTTTTGCATCATTGTAATCCTATACATACCCTAGCAACTCATAAGGTAATTGAGAGCACTCTTCCAAACATCTCGAACACCCTTATAAAAGTCAAATTGATTGAATAATAACACCTATTTGAGTTGCTTAGAGAGAACTCACCTTTCCGCGGATTATGTCTCTGAGAGCATGCCAGAAGAGAGTTCGTGGGAAGGGGGATTTTAGCTGTGGGGTAAATCAATTGAAGAACAACACCTATTTGTATTGTTGAGAGAGAACTCACATTTCCGTGGATTACGTTGTTGACAGCATCCCGAAAGAGAACTCGCGCGGAAGAGAACTCGCTCGGAAGAGAACTCATTGGAAGGGGGATTTGTGCTGAGTGGGTAATGCCGTGAGCGTCGAGAGAGACAGAGTGGTATATTAGGTGTTAGATATGTAAAATAATTGTTATATAGTTGTATGTATGTAAATCCCCCTTAAATAAAATATGTAGTTGAATTAATTTGATGTATGTGATATGCGAATATTCAATTTTCTTTACCTTCATTCATATTGTACATCATGTTAGTTTTATTAGAAAATTTTAATCCTGAGCTATCCTACATAAAAAAAATTTGATGTTGCACTTAGGCAAAATAAATAAAGAGATTACAAAATATTAGGATTTTTTCATCCATAGAGATTCACTCACTCTAAAGAAGAGAGAAATCACTTACTCTGTTGTACATCTAAAGGCAAGATCAAGCAAAAAACTAGCTTTTCCCATATTTCATACATTATTTATGACATGACATTCCATCAAGCATTTTTCATAACAGGCAATTCTATAATAATTGGAAATAAATGCAATAGCCGTTTAGGTTTCGTTGAGTGACGGGTGACCTGTTCCATGAACACTGTTTTGGCTTGTTGTTTGCTTGTTGTATTCTACTTGGTTGGTCACGCCAACATCTACTTGAATTGGAGAGTTAATATTCCGGGGAAACCGAATCCAATGCTATATTTATTATGTTGGGAGCATGAGGAAAATGACCAAAATTATCCATTAACTCTTTATGAAGGGCCAAAATGGTCTCCAACTATATTAAAAGATCATTTTGCTCCCTCAAGTCCTTAAAAATTAACCAAAATAGTCTCATGTTGTGACTATTTTGGTTTCTCTTTAAATAGTCGAGGGACTAAAACAGTCCTTTAATATAGTTGGGGGTTATTTTGGTCTTTCATAAAGAGTCACGGATCATTTTGATCATTTTCTCTGGGAGCATGCTTTACGCCAAACTGTTTGAAGTAAATGGCTTGTGCTTTAAAGCAGAATCGTCAAAGTTACTGAGTTCCAGACATGGCAAAGAGAAAAAATGCGTGGGATCCATTTTCTTCAAAGGAAATTGATTAGAGCTCTGTCAAATGTCTGCTTGTTGTTTCCGAACATGACAAATATTTCACACACTTCTGCATTTCAAAGTTTGAGTCATAAAATTTTGATATACATTAATGAGCAATTTCCTTGCTTTAGTTTGGTTTATTAGTGGTGGATTAGCTTCCTACAATAATTTCTAAATTGTGTTTGTACAAGCTGTCTTACTTTTAACAGTGCTTGTTTTATTCAATGGACATTTTTTTATATACCAAATTTTGCAATGCAAACTGATGAAAATATTCCTATCTTATTTTACGTACTACAGGGCTGAAGAAGTTGGATACGTTAGGCCTACTGATGTTCAACGGCAATCTTTACCAGTTTTGTTATCTGGACAGGACTGTGTGCTTCATGCTCAGGTTACGTATTTTATTCAATTTTTTTGGTTAAACAAAAAATAATCACTGCAGCATTTCTTGCTAGCAGGGAATGCTGTACACACTCAGGTTTCGTTTGGGATGGCTTTCTTTCTGCTTCTTAAAGCAGCATTTTAGTAAAAAAATTAAAAGTTTTATACTAAAAAATTTCTTTAAGAAGCAATAAAAAAACTTTCTCAAACGAAGCCTCAGTTTCCTAGAATGACTAATAGAAGCTAACTTTCTTGTGCTGTGTATGTCATTAGACAGGTTCTGGCAAAACACTGGCATACCTCTTCCTGATATATTCTGTCATTAAGATTCAAAGATCTGCAGTACAGGCATTGATAGTTGTACCAACTAGAGAACTTGGTATGCAAGTAAGTCTATTGTCTTTCTTATTTTTGTGAATGCTAGTAGGTTGTAATTCTCATGTATTTCATTCATCAAGGTCACAAAGGTTGCCAGGATGCTCGCTGCAAAATCTGAATCTGATAATATGCAGAGGACTTGTACAGTCATGTCTCTATTAGATGGTGGGATGTTGAAAAGGCATAAAAGTTGGTTGAAGGTACTTTGCATTTTTCTACTGAATTTAAGAGCTCTCATTCTCAATGTAGCCTAGTTCTTATCTTAATTCATCTTTCAAGAGGTCTCATGCTTAAGAAAAAAAAATTCATCTTTTCTCATTTTTGCCTTAATTTAATGTGTTACCGTTCATTTCATATTCATCACCACTCATACTCTTTTCTCCCTAACAAAAAATTGTAGCTACTGATCTCCTCAAACTCATCCTTTTTATCTTCAAGATCTATCACTTTTAAATTTGATGCATTTCTACATGATTTCTAATTTGCAATAGTTTTTATCTTAAAATTTTGGCGCTCTATTTAAATCACATCCATGTAGAGACTAACTCATCTTTAGTGTTTTAAGTCTTATCCATCTCCCATCAATGCAAGTAGCTCGCCTTCGCTTGGCTTCTTCATGTGCTAGTTTGCCTTTTACAACATAAATCATGGCAAACAGATCAACTATGGATGTGCTTTTATATTATGGAAATTAATGGAAAAGTATAGATAATTAAAAAATATTATTATTATTTATTTTGTTGATATTAAGAAGAATTATGTTACATGAGATAATGTTAAGATGAATGTATAGCAAAATAAAATAGACTGAGAAATGTTACATGAGATCAGTTGTGCTATGAAGTTAAGTTCAAGTGAGTCGAAGTCGTAACTCACAAGTGGTCATCATTTTCAAGTATATATAATACTTTTTCCTATTTTGTTTTTATAAATTTATATATAGCGTAAGTTTGCATGCATTGGTGTTTTTGTCTATATTTGTGCAAATATACATCTACATGTGTATTTATACGTTCATTGAATTGAATCGAGCTAATTTGGAGTGAGTCATTCTCATGCCAAAGCAAATCAATTAAAATTCGAGCAATTTTTGGGTTCCAAACATAATTATGAGCTTTAGATGAGAGGAACTATAGAATAGCAATTATTAAAGATAATTAAAATGGAAAATATAAATGTTTTAATTTTAGAATATGTTGAATAAGATAGTACATAAAAATTAATGTGGAAGCATTAGAAAGAGAATGGTTAAACAAAAAAGTATCATGGATAAAAATTATGCGAAAAGATTTGTTTGAAGTAGCTTTCAAGCAATTCTTGATTAGAATGAATGGAGAATAAGAAATTATAAAGCTGACCACAAATATTCATAATGATGCCTAGGTTGGAACATTTTGAGAAATACTACCTTTTCACTTCTCAGTTTATGGTTAATCCATCGACAGTTTTTGTCCTTCTAATGTAGAATTCTTGATGTTCTTTCTGTATATCTTTCCTAATATTCAATAACTTTGTAATTAGTGGTGTGAAATATAACATGTTAAATTCATCCTAGGGCTTTGCCCTAGCTATCTATATCCTAGGGGAAAACTTTTCAATCACTTTAGAAATTTGTTTTCCTTCTATCTGAGAAACCAATTATTTGTCACTTATTTTGAGGTTTTCAGGTCCATAAACCAATGGCTAACAATTGTATGTTCACTTTATTGACAAACGATTCAACATTTTATTGATTTTGAAGATTTAAGTCTTCTTTTTAGATCAAACGCAAAGAAGATAGTAGTTGGGGCTGATGGCTGATGATTCCTATATATATGGTAACAAACTTTGTATACACTGTTTCCAATATTTTTGCAGGCTGAACCTCCAGAAATAGTGGTTGCAACTATAGGCAGCTTGAGTCAAATGCTTGAGAGACATGTTTTCAAACTTGAAGCTGTAAGAGTT